AGCGGTGGCAGGTGAGTTAAACTCCGCTTTTTCTAATGACAGGCTTCTCGGGGCCTTCAGCATTTCATGATGTACCAGGAAGGCATCATAAGCTGAAGCAGCTGTGGACCCCCCGGGCCCTGTGGTCGCTTCAGACACAGGCTTCATAACACTTAGGACGCAGCATCGGGGAGCAGACATCGAATGGTTCGAGTTGCTCTCCTTGCTGTCCCCCTGTGATCTGTCCCCCCGTCACATGGCTTGCAAACTGACCTCTCACTGTGCCTCAAATGCTTCATCCACAAAGTGGGAATTATCTAGTACCTACTTCATAGATTTGTCATGAGAATTAAATGAGAATACCTGTAAAAGTCGTAGAACGGTGCCTGATCAATGGTAGAAGCTCAAGAAATGCAGGTTCTTATCGTTAGCTTGTCCAGGGTGTGGGAAGTGTTCCCTTACACCCGAGCTTTGTTCCGGCATCGGTTAAATCCCTCTGCATCTGCCGGGGCTGCGGTAGCTGAGTTCGACCTCGTGCCAGGAATTTATAGCGCGCGGGGAAATTATGATCAAGACGGCATGGTTCCTGCCCTCCCTGAGCTTTTAGTCAGGTGCGGAGTGCAGGTAGGAAGAGACAGATAATACTCACAGTTGTACACATTTAAGGATACTTTTGGTTAATGCTGCCAAGTTAAGTGCCGAGTGTTTTATGAGTGAATGGTCCTAGGTCCCCTCTCCCCGTTGCTGCCAGTTGTAGGTATAGTCTCCTCCCCTCGATTCCCTGAAAGCACAGCTAAGGGGTGGCTCCAGGCCCTAGGGACATAGACTGATTTAGTTCACTTCCTCTTTTCTTGAATGCATCATCTAACACAGTGTCGGCCAGGTCCAGGGAGACGAGAGGAGTGCATCAGGGCCCGGCCGCACCAAAGGAAGATTTCCTAGAGGTCATGTGACAGGGTAAAGAGGCAGCATCATAGTGAAAGTGAGCCAAAGAAGGACAAGAAAGACGGTGGTTTCCTTTGACTTAAGGGGTGATGGTGGGTAGAACTGAAAGAAGCAGAAGCGTGGTTAGCGAGCTGGGCGGGCCTGCGGCTGCCCGGGCGGGTGTGAGGTGTTGCCTGGTGGAAGAGTCGGGATGAGCGCGCACGGTAGAGCGGTTGTTGGGCTCACAGAGACCGAGGCCGAGTCACCTGGCACCCTTACTGTCCTCGGCCGAGGTAGGAGATGGCTGAAGTAAACAAGCATAGAAATGAGTAAATTGGTTGCATTATTTCCGTTGTTCTTCACCCATTTCAGCACGCACCTCCTTTCCTGATATTGTCAAGCTCTCTTGCTTTGGGCAGGAAGCCTAAGAAAATGGGAGTGGGTTGGAGGAGAAGGTGTTTGTTATTGGGTTCTAAAGTCCAGGTTTAGGACTTGGGCATTCCTACTTCTGCTTTGGTGCCTTCGCTTCTAGACAGAAGCCTATACCTGCTTTTAGAGTCAACTCAGCAGTCATGGTTTTTCCTAAAAGGTCTAATTTTGTGGATTCTGGGTCACTGGAGCTAGTTACGCAGATAAGAACTTGTAGAAATTCTTAGAGTATTCTCACTGTCCAACATTCAGGCCACATGGACACCGCTTGTTGTTTTTCTGTTTTATAGTTAATATCTGTAAAATACTGGCATGGAGACAGAGAGAGGCCTGGACTGGTAGGAGTAGAGTAGGGGCAGAGACAGAGGGGTGGCCTTGGTGTGTGTGCAGGCCCCCCTCAGCCTGCAGAAGATTTGAAGCGTGGGGGACGGCCCAGGACTCCTTCCTCACTCCGTTTCTGTGGAGCTCCTGAGGGTCTGCACAGCGACTGCCTGACAGTTGCTTTTCATATTAAAGTCGGTCCCACTAGGTGTGTCTCTTAGGACTCATTGGTTAGAGTATTTCACAGCTTCCCATTCTGAAGAGAGGAGTTCTGTTGACTGTCACCCACCTGTGACAGTTGTTGGTGATAGGGCCAAACTAGAGAGAGGAGAAATTCAGACTGGCATCAAGAATCCCTGACATGTAGAACATAAACATCTCAAAGCATACTGGCCAATTGTATCACAGGTTTGTTAGGACAAAAGCATATTGTTATCAGAGGAATTTGTAGTCAAAGGGTGTGAGCGAATGCGAATTAATTGGATTATTCATCTCTGCTTCTTTATACTTGCTGCGCTCACCCCTCTTGGGTGTGTAAACTACAGGGCCATTGGGGTTTTAGAAAAAACGATTCTTTTAGCTGTTGTAGTAAACAGTCAATTTATTTCACAGCATGTTTTTTTTTGGCAAAACAGAGAGCTGTAAAAGTATCAAGCTGTGAGGCAATAATAAAACATAACCTGCTTCTACACAACAATTTTAATTTCAGCATTCTTCCACATTTTTAGTATATATGTATTTTTTTTTATTACAGACATCTAATGAAGGATAGTTGAAGGGCAAATGATAGTTTCTTTACCTTGTCAATTGGGAAATTAAGTGACTTGTTTGAGAACTTGGAGTTTTTCACAGAACCAAGGAGTAGAATCCAGATCTTTTGACTTTTAGCTTATTGTACTTTTCGTGTGTGTGTGTATGCGTGCGTGTGTGTGTTTGTGTGTGTTGAGTGTGTGTGTGTGTATATTTTTCTAGGCTGAGTGTCTGTGACTTTCTTCAGGTTTTCAAAGTTAGGGGGACATGTCCCCCAAATGGTTAGGAGCCATGATCCTGATGTTTCTGCGTGGAGCAGTGCAGGGTACCCGGGTGCTTCTCATCTTCCAGCCATCTTGCTCTGTGCTAGATGCTGGAGGTACAGACTCAGATAGGTTACTGGCTGTGCTCTTAAGGAGCTCATAGACCGATGGGAAGGGAATGGGAACAATTGTAACATGGTTTGCAGGGGAGAAAGAGAAATACATGTTATGGAAACATCAAACTCTGTCTGAATGAATTGGGGCAGATTTCATAGAGGAGGTTACATTTTAATTAAGGTTTGAGGATGGGAATGGAGAAGGAGAGAGGATTTGTTTTGTTTTAGGATGAGAGTGATTCGGGCTGAGAATGATTTGGCAAGAGAGGATTGTGAAAATTTCCCCTTTCAGGGGGAACGTACGGAATAAGGCTCTCTCTTTTTGCCATGTCATTGGCTAAGTGCTGCAGCCCCTCAACCAACTCTCCTAGACTCTGGCAAAGGCAGGACATTCCTACCTGTTCTCGAGATCTTGCCCTCCAGGGAGACCAACATCCTTGGCCCCCCTTTACAAAGAAGCTCATGGAATACTGCTCTTTGCTTTGTAAAGTCTTCTGTCTGCCATTCATTTGATCTTCACTCTGCCTCTCTCATTCTCTTCCTTTTGCTTTCCTTTCTCTTGTCAAGTTCATCTCCTATAATCATTAAACAACCTTATCTTTCATCCTTTTTGTTACTGTAAAAGGTTTATCCTAATTTCCTTCCCTTAATATTCCAATTCTTTACTTTACAAATCAGTGTAGGTAAACCCTGTGGATGTCGTTGCTGATTGCTAAGTTTTTAGTGCTTACTATGTGCCAGGAACTGTATTTAGTGCCCCACACCATTATCTAGTCTGCTGTTATCTCGTTCTCATTTGTGAGTGAGAAACCTGAGGCGTAGCTTAAACATCTTATTTAGACAACATATAATTAGCGAGTGACAGAGTTGGGATTCAGGTCACATCTCCTCATGTCATGATCTCATTACTATTTGTTAGTCCAGAGATATAAAGAAGAGAGTTATTTGATCTGTCGATAGATATTGTTAGGTATCATAAAAATCAACATAAACCCCAAAATAGGAATATATGCTTTAGCATTAGGTAATGTTTTGAGTTGCCATCATGGGTAAAGAAGATGATGCTATCAGTTGAAATGACCAAAGGCCTGGTATTATTTTTAGGAAAGAGTTTAGAAAGAAATAACTGGAATTCTAGTGGTTGTATCTTAAGACTGGCTTCTCAGGGCATTAGGGAAGCAGGCGTTGAGAATGCGTCACAACCTCATCTAGATAATGGATCAGATGCTGAGAGCATTGACCCAATTAGAATGTCAAATCGAGAACTGCAGCCTGCTGGATGAGGCACGGAGTCAAAGGGGTTACAAACCCAGATGCCATCTTGACTGGCTGGCAGCAGATCCCAAATTTGTGGGGCCTGTGGCACAGGTATTCAGAAGGCAGGTAGACATTTATCTTGTAGGAGCTTAGTTCTTTTGGGGCTTTGGGATTGGGTTCTAATTCCAGAAATGTGGGACTGTCTTATTACGAGCTGACTGGTAGAGGCAGCCACTGGGCTGGAGATTGATCCTCAAGCTAGAATTGGCTAGAGCGATACTGGGAGCAAGAATCAAAGAGGAGGACCAACCCTGAATTCTGGGCTTTTTTTTTTTTGCTGTACAAGGGAGATTTGGGAACCCAGAATTCAGCTCTGATACCTTGGATCTGGAAGATGGGTTAAAAGCAAAGGCCTCCTATAGGAGGAGCTGAAGCTGTTTAAATACTGCCTACCTTGCTTGATTGTGAACTAGGGTGAGTGGCTTAGTCGATGGAACCATAGCCAGTGGCCCAGAGGAAATCTGAGGGAGGGAGGCTGACAAGAGCACGTTCACGTTAGATGCAGTCAGATAACACAGTGTGAAACAAGCCGACTAGCTTAAGAGTCAGGGTGGATTTCAAGTGAAATTTCTACTCATTGGAACTTAGCTCCTATGTTCTTTTGGCTTAATATTTAAAAATATAGTAAGACAGGCTGGAATGGATTTAATACATCGATTAAACTAGAATGCTCTTCACTTATCCCCCAGGTATTTGTTGAGTGCCTGCATTGTACTGACAGAGTACAGTCGGGATAAATTAATCAAGCGATTCGTCAGCTGTCTTAATTTCTCTTGGGACAGGATTATTTCACAGCAAAGCAGAGTCTATGTGAATTAAAGAGGGCGGAGAAGCAGGGACAGTTACTCTATATTTTCTAACACGTTTATTACACAATTACTAAGAAACTCATTTTTGTGTAGAGATACTAAAATTTCAGCAAGGGAATAATAGAAGTGTGGATGGGTATTTTGGAAGAGATTGGCATAGAAAGAAGGAAACAACTTGAGTTTGAAAGAATAAAGGAAGTGCTTATAGGAGCAAATACTCTTGTTCTAAATTAAACAAACAACAGAAAGAATCAAAGTGCACATTTAATCCCCAATTTTCAGTGCCTGTTCCAGGCCTTCTTATGGTCACATGAAATTGGTCTAGCACAGTAAATTATTTCCTTTGACAACTAACTTCTCCTTCAAGTGATTGTTTTAAAGTTTTGTCTTCCAAGTTCTTCTTTAAATACGCACCCATCATACTAGATTATATTTAATCCAATCTCTTATATAACCACTATCATTTTGGATTGTTCTCAATTCCGGTGGAATTAGAATTTCTTAGAACTGTTTGGTTTCTTGGCCTGGGTGGCAGGCCCTGAAAGACTTGGAAGGTACTTAATGATGGAGGGCAAGTTCTTCGGAGCCTCCACCCACAGTGGTACGGTAGGCAAGGTATATCTACTAGCACGATCAGATTTTCCCCAAATTGTTATATATACAAGTCTATTTTTAACAATCATCTTTTCTTCTTCATTACTGCCAGTTCTAGGATCAAATACTTCAGGTTCTTGCCTGCTTTAAACATGCCTTCAGATCTCTGTAATTCAAATTGAAATGTCTGAAATAAGGAATGTATCATTTAAGGATAGGGTAGCTTATTTGTGCTGGGAAACTCCCAATTAATGTTTCAAGATTATTTGCTAGAAAACGAATTCATTTCTCCTTAACTCCAAGGAGATGTTTCAGTGAAATTCACTCTCATCGTAAGGAATGAGTTAATGGTAAAGCACTTAAAGCAGCGTTAGCACGTTATAAGTGCTCAAGAAATGCCAGATGTTACTGTTATTCTTCTTTGAAATGAGGACTGAGAGTCATAGTTTGGCCAAGATCACAGAATAACTCAAATTTACTATTTCTAGCTCTTGAATTTACCACTGACAACATTTACTCACAGCAGACAAAAGGTTGACATAAGATGTTGACGTAAAATGTTCCTGTCTCAATGTGCGTTTCTTTGAAGCGTCCAAATCGCTGACAGTTGTGTGGCAGGTGAGGTTATGCCGTGGAATGACGTGGCTTATTTCTTACTCACGCTCCTTGCCCATCAGGATCATGGAGGGCTTTGCCTTGCATTAGTCTCACTCCAGAGTCCAGGCTAAATGAAACAACTGTCATCAGGAGTAGTCCCCTTTCCTGGTGGCAGAAGGAAACAGAGCCCTTGAAGGCCACATTTAAAATGCCTTTCTCCAGAAGTGACTCTCAGTTCTGCTCACAACTCATTGGCTGGAAAGAGTCACCTGGCCTTGCTCAACCACGAGAGAACCAAGAAGCGCAGTCCTTCCCAGTAGGTGTCGCCACGTAGGGCTGACAGGGTATACCTGGCGAGCTGCACTAATGACTGTCACACTGGATCGATGTTACGCTGCATTCTTGACTAGCCATCTGAAAAGTCATACGCCCTGGGTCATTAGGGAGATCAGGCAAAAGCTTATCACTTACTACACATTCATTCTCACTAATGAAAAGAGAAGTCAGATGGCCTTTCAATCACCCTCAGTTATGTAATTCTTGCTTTAAAGTACAATGGATGATGCTAAGTAAATTTGATGATCTTTGAATTAAGTTAATGGTGCAGTTTTTGTAAGTGAAAGGCAAGGAAGGAAAGGTACTGTCATTTATTTGGTAATATTTGTAAACTGTAAAGAGGTTATTATTGATAGCATTATTGTGACATTGTTGCTTGTTACTTCTATTGTTTAAATTTTTGTTTTTTAAAAAATTTCAATGGATATAGCTTATCCTGTGTTTTATAGAAACTAGTAATGATTTAGGTCATATACATAACTATTATGAATGTAGGTAACTAGAGGGAGCAACATGGTAGATTTGAAAAACTACAGATATTTTGATATTGCGGAGCTTATCAAAATATCTGGCAGGAGATGAGGCCAGGCTGGTAGATGCACTGGGGGAGTTACATGAAATGTCTTCCTACTGTGTAAAGGAGTTCAGCTGTTATTGTATAGGCAGTGGGGAGCCATTAAAAATTTTTCAGGACAGGTGACACAGTCAGATTTGTATACAGGCACATTTAGTTTTTTTTATCATTTCACAAATGTGTTTTCTTGCAAATTGAAGACAAGATCCTCCACCAGCAAAAAGATTACGGCTTTCTTTATTGTGAAACTTGCATTATTGCAGGGGTCTGGAACTGAACCCCAATACCCGCCAGGTATGCCTGTCTGTATCAAAATATCATTCTGGTGGTAGGGTGAAGGGCTTCAAGGAAAGAGGCAAAACTGACGAGAGACTGACAAGAAATTTATTTAGTAGAGTCTCAGTGAGAGATGGTTAAGAGTCGCGGAGGCCATGGAGACTGCAAGGAGGTAAATAGAAGACCGTTTAATAAGGTGGAACGTGGGGATTGGATGGAGGAGGTAAGGGAGAAGGAACAGGCTAGGATGACTCCTACATTTCAGGCTTGGGTAATTGAAGGGATACTTTTTCTGTAAAAGACCAGATAGTAAATGTTTTAGGCTTTGAGGCCATACGGTTTTTTTATAGCCTCACAAAGCTGCCATTTTAGCATGAAAGCAGTTATGTTCTAATAAAACTTTATTTGCAAAAACAGCTGGATCTGGCCTGTGAGCTGTAGTTTGCCGACGCCTGTTCTAGAGGCATAACGAGGCCTCATGAAGGACCTTGCTCATCCTGCCCTGCCAAGCAGCCCTTTGAGCCACGTTGTACCTCACACTGGGCCAGGTCCTGGGGTTGCAGAGACGAACACGCTTTGATGAACTTGCAGACCGGTGCTGAAAGCCTCCGTGGTCCCCTTTGCCGTGTACCCTAGCTGGTCTGAGTACAGATGCCAGAACTCGGGGGCGCAGAGAGGACAGCTGTGCTTAAGGGGATGGGGTGAAGCTTCTTAGAATAGACGGCATGTCAGTCTCGGTTTGAAAGAAGAGTTTGCCACATGAAAATTCAGAGGAGAGGAGAATATTTTAGGCAGGGGAACTGTATGTTCGCAGGCATGTGAGCACGTATTCCTTCTAAGTCTACGCTGGTGAGGATGAATTCTGCTGTATTTATGTCTATTTCATGGCATGCTAGAAAGAACGTGGGCTTCTCAAGTCAGATTAGGGTCCACATTCTAGACCTTTTACTGACTGGCTCTGAGGTTTAGAGGCCTCATCTGTAAATGGGAGTAAGTTTTTTTTGGTAAGGATTAATGACCTATAATCACCTAAAATGGTGTCTGGTAAATAGATGCTTTTGAAATGTGAGTTTCATTCTTTCACTTTCTTTCTCTTGACTCCGACTGCTGGGTGACTAGCATTCTGTATTCAGGGAATAGTACTTGTTGAATAATTTCAGTGTTTCCAACAATGTGAGAAAAATGACCGATATCGTTTCTTTCGACTTAAAATTTTGTGACTAAAGCTCACAGGGTGAATTCACTAGATGTAGTGGTCTTATGGAGCAGAAATTTGTTTTCAGAACTAACTTTAATGAGAGGCGAGAACATAGCGATGGGTCAAGTTAGGTTTGCTGGACGTTTGCACATGGGAGCTGCATGCGACTTCCCCCTCTGAATATCAAAGGTGGACTATGTCGATTACACACGTCTTCTGTAATTTTACTTCATCGATGTTTACAGATGGTTCTAAACTTGTTTCCGTCTTAATTTCCTTTGGTGTAGAGAATGGAATAAGTGCGGTTGTAGATCTGAGTGTTCCGGGGCGGTGTGTTTTCTCCCTGTGGCCCAGGTGCTGTAGCTCACCTATTTCCCAGTTAACGTGGGCCCAGGCTAGAGTCAATTAGCTCTTTGTTACCAATCATATTCCTCCTTCGTGTGACATAAAGGCCTTGCAGGACCTGCTCGCTGCCCTCTTGGGCCACCTGTTACCTTTAATGTACCCTTAGCGTAGGCACCACAGACTGGAGGGCTTTGAACTGAATGTGCACCACCCAGCTGTGTGCCTACGTTTTGTCTTCACACACATTGTTTCCTTTGCTTGCGTTTTCTGCGTGTATCTCTTCCTCTCTCCCTTGCTCATCTTTCAAGACTGGATTCATAGGTTGTTGCCTATGGGAAGCTTTTCCTTGATAGCTCCACAATCGTTACTCAAGGTTGCCTTTTTACTGTATTGAAATATCTTCGGATGTTTCTCACTGGTATTATGTCTCTGTTCATATTCCAATGGTATTAGATATTTTCTTCTGTGTTTTATTTGTGTTGTTTATTATGAATGACTCCTACTATATGATGATGTTGAAATGGCAGACTCTTTATTGGGTAACTGTCCTGTGATCCGCACTCTTCTGGGACCTTTGTAAACACAGTATGTTGCAGATATAGATTACTTTGCAAGATGGACTGAACTGTTGCATTTTTTTTCATTATTCGTGTGTCCATTTCTAAACAGGCCAGAGCATATTGGTTTAACTCATGACAAAGTAGTGCCTGGTGGCAGATGAAAAGTCAATTCTTAAATCAGAAAATTCTTGAATTTGGGTATTTGTTCATACTTCCATCTTCAAGGTACTTCTGTTAAGGCTATACAGAACTTAAAAAATATATTGGCGTCAGTTTCATTATTAAATTATTTAAAAAGTAGTTTAAAATGTATTTTTTATAATGAAATAAATTAAAGCAAGGAGGGTACTTACCTGTCAGTGTCTCCTTTTCTGTTAATTCATTAATGTGATGATTCATTCAACAAATATGATTTTGGACATCTGTTGTCCACCAGATAAGGGAATAGGACATCATTGAACATGACGGACAGTGTGCCACCCTCATAGCACATACAGAAAATTTACGTCATCTCTTGGACCAGGGAAACTTATTATCAAAACCTGTTGTTTGTTTTTTTGTTTAGGAACCACAAGGAGATTTAATCAGTACCTTAATAGTTGGAAACTATTTTAATAAATGCAAAAGCCAGAAGTGCTTTTTAACTTTTACTAATTTGAAAGGAAAATTCTGTTCTTTTAGCAGAAAATAATCTCTTTAGTTAAGTTCATGTGGAGGAAAAAACCAGTCATGCTTATAGTGATTTTTGTCTTAGAATTAATAAGTTAAATAACTTTCCTAAACTCATTCATTTTAGAATTATTTGAGACCTTGTTTGAGATATGCAATTGATAAAGAATGAATTGCTTTTCATTTTATTTTCCTTTCTCCCATTTTGCCTTGAAGCTTTCCACGGATAGCTATGGTTGCTGAGAAGCAGCATCGGGAAAAGGAATTGTCCCCTTCCTACCTCCTTGTCCTTTAGGCCATCATCTTGAATCCCTAGTTGAGTGAGACACAGAATGTATACATGTGCCTGTGTACATGTGCAGGGAGGATTTTGCTGGGATTTAGAGAGGACCTACAAATAGAGGTAATAGGATTTGTGGAGGTAAAAACAAAGAAAGATAAAATTCATGTGAACATTTGTATGGGAGAACATCTATATTATGTAAACTGCCCCAGAGCACTTCTAGTCTTAATTTCATAAGTTCCATGAACTCATGACCCATTATTGAATAATTCACTTGTTATATTGTATATATTTTGAACCCTAAAATTTCTACCCATAGTAGAAGTGTTGGGTTGATGGTGTGTACTTTTAAAAGGCAGAAAATTCATCCTGTAGTCATCTTGATTTCTGACTGGGTTAGGGTTATCTGTCCCCTTTCTAACTGCTCACTGAAAGAAAGGTGAATCTTCTCTGGAAGAAGAGAATCTCTTTGAGAGTGCCTACAATTTTATATCCACAGTGTTCAGCATTTAATAAAAAATTACCATGTATACCAGGAGACAAGACAGCTGACCGAAATTCAAGGAAAAAAATACACACACACCACAGGTAAATCAGATTTTGATATTATCAGAAATTTATTTAAAAATAAGTGAGATAATATGCTCAAGATAATAGATGACAAGATGGCTAATTTCACCAGAAAACTGGTACTTATAGAACGAGAATAGATAGAAGTTCTAGAACTGAAAATAATAGAAATTGACCACTCAGTATATGTGTTTAGCTGCACATTAGATACTGTCGAAGAAAGGATTAGTGGACTGGAAAATAGCTCAGTAAAACATATTTAGAATGGGGCAAGAAAAAAAGAAAAGGATAGAAAATACAGAAATAGGTATAAAATGCATATTAGACACAAGGAAAAGACCTTACATTTATGTAATGTGAGCCAATGAGAAAAGGAGGGAGAGAATGAGACTCAAACAGTATTTTAAGGGATAATGGCCAGGAGTTTTCTAAAACTTAAAAAGATGTCAGGCCACAGATTCGAGAAGCTCAAGAAAAACCAAATAGGATTAACACAAAATAAATCATATATAGGCACACTATAATAAACTTATGAAAAGCAAAGAGAAAAATCTTGAAAGCATCAGTTTGGAAAATAAGATCTCTTCAAAGGAACAACAGGAGGACTGATGGAATGGTATCTTTAAAGTGCAGAAAGAATATATCTATAGATACCTAGATATCTATACTCAGGGAAAGTATTTTTCAAAAATGCAAGCAGAATTCATATGTATTAGACAAATTTCTTGAAACACTCAACAAAATGGTCACAAGAAGAAATAGAAAATCTGAATATTTCCATATCTAGTAAAGAAATTGCATCTTCAATTCAACATTTTTTTTAAACAAGGAAAACTCCGGGGTCAAATGGTTTTACTACCAGTGAATGGTTCCAGATATTTAAAGAAGAAAAAGAACAATCTTACAGAACTCTTCTGGAGAATACTAAAATGATTTATGAGGCCAGCATATCTTTGATATCAAAACCTGACAAAGACAATACAGGAAAATTATAGGAAAATTTTTCTCATGAACAAAGATGCAAACTTCCTAAATAAAGTACTAATAGGAAATTTACTCCATAGAGATATAGAAGGCGTGACATATTAGGACCAAGTGTGAATTAGTCCAGGAATGGAAGATTATACTACTGTTCAAAACTCAGTAGGTGAGCTGGTGGTCAAAGGGTACAAAATTTCAGTTATGCAAAATAAGTTCTGGAGATCTGCTGTGCAGCACAGTGCCTATAGCTAATGATGTTTTATTGTGTACATAAAATTTGCTAAGAGGGTAGATCCTCTGTTAAGTGTTCTTACCACAAAAATAAAATAAAGGGGATTGAGAGAAACTTTGGGAGGTTATAGATATGTCTTTGACCTTAATTGTGGTGGTGATGGTTTCAGGCTCACCTCCAAATTTCATTAAGTTGTATATATTAAAATGTACAGCTTTTACATGTCAATCATATCTCAATAAAGTGGTTTAAAAATGGATAAAACTTAACATAATTAACCACATTAACAGAAGAAAGGAAAAAATCATATGATTACTTCAATTTTTACAGAAAAATATTTGGTAAAGTACAACACCTATTTATAATAAAAATTCTTAGCAAACTGGTAATAGAAGAAACCCCCTTAATCTTACACAGGCTTTCTACCAAAAAAAAAAAAAAAAAAAACAACCAAAAAACAAAAAACAAAAAACAAAAAAACAGTAGAAGGAAAGCAGGGAGGAGGAAGGTAGATAAGGGTAAAGAGAGTCCAATATATGGTGAGACAGAAGGTTAGCAAACTGTGAAAAAAAGAAACCCCCTTAACCTTACACAGGCTTTCTACCAAAAAAAAAAAAAAAAAACAACCAAAAAACAAAACAAAACCCTACAAAAATCATAATTAATGGTGAAACAGTGAAAACTTTTCTTCTGATGGAATGAAACAAATAATATGATCACCACTTCAATTCCCCATTATACCAGCAGTTCTAGTCAATGCAGTAAAGCATAGAGAAAAAGGTATAAGAGTGGGAAAGTAAGACGATGGTCATTATTTTCAGACTACTCGATTTTATTTATATGTATATGTATATTTATGTGTGTGTATATATATATATAAATACATATATATGTATGTATATGAAAAATCCAAAAGAATCGAGGTTGCTACATACAAAGTCAATCTATAAAAATTATTTGTAATCCCATATATCAGCAGCAAACCAGTAATTAAAATGATACCCTTTATATTAGCATATCAAAACAAATACTTCAGGATAAATACAATGAAAGATTTGCAAGACCTACACTTTGAAAACTACATAATGGTATCAAGAGAAGTTAAAGATGCCCTAACTAAATGGTAATGGACTGTAAAATTCCATACAGTAAAAATGTTAATTCTTCCCAAATTGATCTATGGATTCAACACAATTCCAGCCAGATTCCAGGAATCGTTCGTGTGTGTGTGGAGAGTGACCAGCTTATTCTTAATATAGGTGGCAATGTAAAGGGCCAAAAATAACTAAGCCAATTTTGAAGAACAAATAAGACAGTGTAGTATTGATATAAGGAGAGACAAATAAGCTGATGAATGGAATGAAAGTCCAGAAACAGACTCACTCATATATGGTCACTTGATTTATGACAGAAGTGACAATGTAGTGCAGTGAGGGAAAGAATGTTCTTTCAACAGGTAAGTGCTAGGCCAACTGGATATCCATATGGAGAAAAAGAATGCTGACTCTTATCTCATACCATACATAAAAATCAATTCTAGATGGATTACAGATCCAAGTGTGAAAGGTGAAACCACAAAGCTTTTAAAAGAAAACATGGAGCGTATCTTTATGCCCTGGGGGGCGGCAAAGATTTCTTAAACAGGACATAAAAAACACTAACCATAAAGGAAAAAAATGAATAAATCGGAGTACGTTAAAGAACTATTCATCAAAAACACCATAAGGAAAGTTAATAGTAACCCACAGAGTGGGAGAAGGCGTGCACGACACATCTATCCAGCAGAGGACTCATCGAGAATTTATGGAGAATTCCCACAAATCGTTGAGGGAAAAAACAAATAGAAAAATGGGCAAAAGACTTAAACAGGCTATATATGTATATAAAAAGATATCCACATGACCAGTAAATTTATGAAAAGATGCTCGACTTCAGCAGTTACTGGGGAACTGCAAGTCAAAACCATAATGCAGTACCACTTCCCAACCTGAAGTATTAGACTGAAAGGGACATTCAGTACTAAGTCGGTGAGGTGCAGTGTGACTGGAACTCTCAGGTGTTGCTGGTGGGAATGTCACTTGGTCTGGTCACTTTAGAAAGCTGCTTGGTATCATCTTCTAAAGTTGCAGATACCCTGTGACCTAGAAGTTCCATTTTTTAAGTATATGTGCAACAGAAATGAATACATTCATGCACCAAAAAACATGTTCAAGAATCTTCAGGCAGTGTTCTATAAAGCATCCTCAACTGGTTGAATACATTGTGGTACATGTGTATGGTATTATAATATAGCAGTGAGAATGGATGAGCTACAGCTGTGAGCAACAATTAATGTGACTCTCACAAACTTGGAGCCGACAGAGCCAAGCAAAAAAGAATATTTACTATACAATTCTTCTTATAAACATGCAAAACTATGGGCTTTTCAGGATAATGTTTATCCTTGGAAGGGCAGTAACCAAATGGGCAAGAGAGCAGTTTCCAGGTGGGCTCTAGTAGGCAAAATTCTAAGATGGCCCTTGCGTGTCCCCTTCTCTGATATATACACCACTTACAATCCCCTCTCCTTGAGTGTGAGTAGGATCTGTGAATATAATGGGATACTACTCCCATGAGTAATTTATGTTATTTCGCAAAGGTAAAGGGATTTTGCAGATGTTATTAAAGTCCCTAATCAACTGACTTAACCATAAAGGAATTATCCTCGTGAGCCCAACCTCATTAGGTCTACAGGTCAGAGATGCTCTCCTGCTAGCCCTAAAGAAGCAAGCTGCCGCGAGTTCCAGGCTTGCGAGGAAACAAATTTAGCCAAAAGTGACTCAGGCTTTTAAGAGGACCCTGATCCTTATATCACAGATAAGACACCAGCCCCAGTCGACACCTTGATTGCAGCTTTACGATCCTTAGCACAGGACCCAGCTAAGCCGTTGCCAGGACATCTGGTCCACAGAAACTTGGGATGATAAATGTATCTCGTTTTAAGCTGTTGAGTTTGTGGTCAGTTTTTATGCAGCACAGAAAATTAATCCACTTTGGTAATACTCGATTTCTTCATCTTGGTAGTAGTCACATGGGCATGTGTACTTACTTTGTAAAAATTCATCATATTGTACATTTATGATTTGTGTATTTTTCTGTATATAAATAAAAATGAATTATATTGAATAAAAGTGTTCATCTTAAAACAAGACAACAGTTAATAGCATTTCTCTGCGTTACCTTTGATCAGTACACAAATGTAATCAAATAATTATGTTGAAATTGTACTGGTTAAGTTGAACACAAGCAGATTTGGTCATAAAATTAGTTTAAATATTCCTTTCCATTAATGAACTCACCTTCCATCCTTACTCTCTTATTGACAAGTCACTTATATTTTACATTTTTCCCCAGTGGTTTCGCTTGGAGAGTAATAGAGTCTTGAAGGTGGAGATGTAATGATTTTTCCGTCTAACCTCCTTATTTTAAAGGTGATGAAACTGGGCGTGCTTCAAATTAAGTATTGAATAGCAAAGCCAGTACCTTAGTCCTTGAGGGCTCAGTTCTGTGTTTATTTCCTCATATCACGGATCATCTGGAATCCAGAGGATGTAAGTGCATGCTGTTTGGTTGTTATGTTGTGGACGTAGTTTGGGTAGTCTGGTTCTAACTAGAGCTGATGAGCCGGTATTGAGCATAGTGGGAGTTGGGATGGTGGAGGAGAAATTCATTCAACCCCAAATATCTACTGTGCCTGTCTTAATGCACTGAGATGTCCTCTTTGCAGATTTTCCTTCTTTGGGGTACCTACTTCCCAGAAATGGCCTCCAGCTGTTTCAAGTTTTCTAAGGCTCCTGTTGGTTTATAGCCTTCCTCATCTTAAATTGATATGAAATTAGATAATGCCTCTACTTCTCCCGAGTGTGAAAACAGGAACTGGACTCTATCTGTAGATGGGTGAATGGGTGTAAAGTCAGGTGGAAGTCAATCACTGATCACAAAGAATTCTTGCGTTAAGGTTTCTACAGATTGAAATACAGTTTAAGAAAGCATTTGCAAAATAAATGTAACAGTATGGCAGGTAGATGCATGTAATTGTGTTTGAGTCATAAAACATATTTTTATTTGTGCCTATTTTAAAAAATATTTTTAAAAATAAAAAAAGTTTTAATTTTACATCTCTGATCCTGAATTCATAGTATTGTATTTTGGAAAAACTAGGAATATTAATATAGTACTTCTAGGAATATTAAAATCGTAAAGCATCTGTCAGTATTTCCATTATAAAATGCAATTTTAAAGGGTTTAGAAGTCAGCTATAAAAGTTTGTTCTTGGCTGATACTTTGTATACAAAAATCTCTGCCCAACATAATTTTCAGAATAATTATTGCAGTGGCATAAACCGTGAGGTTATATGGCAGAACCAGTTCACATTGAACTCAGTTTTTATGCTTCTGTCAAAGTAGGGGAAAGATGACAACTTTCAAAATGATTCAAGTAGAACAATATGAAAATTATTCTTCTAGCTTTCTCAGAAAATTGTTAGTTAAAAAAAAGTTTACCACTAGAAGACTCACCATTCATTGGCTTAAATATCAAAAATTATAGCCCCAGCAAACCCAGCATGAGACCAAAATCTAGATGACTTGGGAATAACTCTTTTAAGACTAGATTTTGCCAGCCAAGTTCGAAAGCAGTTTGGGGGGCAGCTCAGTGTCTGTGTGTAACCCCAAAGAGATTCTTACGGGCCCCACTTATTGGAAAATAGCTGTCTGTTTGGTACCTGCGCTTAGCTGCCTGCAAAGCAAGGAAGTAAGTGCTAATGGGAAAGCAAAGACTTATTTCTTCCATGATTGGAGCCGTATCCAGTGAAGCTGGAGAGCTTCTTGTTAATGTAACTTTCTCCCCAAGACTCTGGGCAGGTTTTAGCTTGAAAGGAAGATCAGCCACAGTGTAGATAAGCTCCTGGCTTTTGCGCTCTTGCGAACACACATGCACATACAGCCCTTTGCAGCTTGTGGGCAGGTTTCTTTTTTTATTCTTTTCTACTTGTTCAGAGTTGAATCTCATAAGCAGATTACCTCCATGGATACTTTCGTATGTGGCAGCCAGCCTGGTCTCAGAGTTCACAGTAGCTTCCTCTGTCGTGTCAGCTGCTGCACCATGGAAGTGCATAGCGCTCACAGGGATTGTTTGAGGTGCTGGTTTGAAATGAAATGTGACTTTATGTGAAATATGGATTAGAAATGATATTGCATTATATACATCCAGTTGTCTCCATGGCGGAGAAGGAACTGCCTCATTAGTGAAAAACTTATCCCTCCCCTCTCTAAAGTAATGATGCAAAACCATACTTAGGGCCAAACAAGGCAAAAACAACAACAACAACATCAACAAAAAAAATCCTTTAGTTTGTGCTATTAAAGAAAACGACTTCTTTAAAATCAGGTCAACGTTTATTCAAAGATCTTAGGGAATTTGCTCCAGCCCTGTCATGCCGAAGGAGGAGAAAGCTTGCCTTGGCTCCCGAGATGGAAGTGTGTTGCTTTCTCGGACATCGTCTTACTGAGAGGTCCCTTCTCCATCTTTGCCTGGTCTCACGTTTGGTGGCTCGTTATAGGGAGAGACCGGCGCTCATGCCGTCATGACCCGCCAGAAGCTCCAAGCTGGAGTCTGAGGTGTGCAAGAGGTAGTGGCGTCTCAGAGAGAGGACGCTGCCATGCCATCGAGCACGTGCCGGAGTTCAGGATTCCTGACAGGTGGGTAGGTTGCATATGGAGACAGCAGATGATGTAATTTCCCAGAGGAGTAACTGTCGCTCTCATTATTTTGTTCCACTTGTCCCAGATTTGGCCAGTGGAAGGTCCCCAAGTTGGCATCTGTGTCATGTTGACATGGTCTCATCATTCTTTGAACATTATTTTCTGGAGATGTTCTACCCTCATCTTGTATTTTCCCTGCACTATCCTGGAAATCAGCCATTTGCCAAGAAGCCCCTGTTCCTTTAAGAGGAGAAATCCAGATGCTCCCAAGCCCTCCCACTGAACAACTGGAAATATATGTATGTGTATATACTCTTATCTCTGTCTCTGTCTCTATCTCTATCTCTATCTCTCTATGTCTGTCTGTCTGTCTGTCTGTCTACCTACCTACCTACCTACCTACCTGTATATCTATCAAACTGATTCATGCTATAGTTCTAATTCTACAAGGAACCACACGGT